ACTCGAGACAATAAACATGATCTCGAGGCTCAGGGGAATGCATGAATATGAGTATTTGTATGAGTTTACACCCCGAAGCCTCGAGATGACGTCTTTTGTAAAGGTTTAGTATATCGACAATGGGCAAAAGGCTATTGAGGTTTTATCATCAGCATTTGCCAGCTTTCTAAGTTAAACACGGTATACAGCAATAAAATAGGATTTACTTCAGTTTAGAATATAGGATTTACTCTTATAAATAATGAATTGTACGTCTCGGCTCGCTCCTCGATTCGCAGTTTTGATGTGACAACGTCACGGAGGCCATATTTGTGCGCCTAAACAATGAAAACGCGGCCATATTTGTGCCCCTAGTTTATCCTCTGGGAATTGAACGGCTTTCTTATATATGCAAACGTTTTCTTTTGTTTTAATCAAAACAACGTGGGCCATGATAACGACAGTGCAGTGAAACCCACGTCTTGGTCAAGAAGTAAGCAAGAAATGAGGAACAAATTCTAAGATATGGAGTCGATGTTTGCTTCCAACGTCGGCTATTGGCTTTAAGGATCTTTTCTGAGAAAAAGTTTCAACTTTTTGTAGTTTTGGTAGTTGAAGCGTACATTTTTAAATCTGTAGAATAATAAGGGGTCATGTTCGTGGAAAACTCGAGCTTAGTTTTATGATTTCTTGAGGTATGGTCAGCGTATCATGGGAAGCTAAGTGTTTATAATTACATTGATTTACTAAGGCGTAGTCTTAGTCATTAATTATTTGCTTAATTAGATCCCATAAGTTTACCTTTTATAGCTGTATTTATTCTGTAGCACCTGATTACGTAAACTATATACTTTTATTGGGTAACCAGTTCCTTTCTATGCCCTTTTAATCAATCTTTATCCAAAAGCTTTCTTTTCCTTTCTCTAATTGTAAAACCTTGCGTTTACATATTTAGGGTTTCGGGGCGGTACTTGTTCTGAGGGCTTTTTCCTAGGCGTAGAATGAAAAGGTCCTAGTGAAGTAACGAGCGAAGAAGAAAGTGAGAGGAACACGTCCAGAAGCACAGCCTTCTGCTGAGAATCCCTCAGTAAAATCATCCCTAAAATCACGACAAAGAGACATTTGACGAGGGATGTGAGTGCAAAGTTCCTGTTCGAACCAGACGAAAGTCAAGTGGAAATGGCTGCCAAAATTGCTGTAAACCGGAAAGCCGAAGTATGCCGGACTGCAGAGGGAAAACGCAACCTGAAGAGGTCGGTTGAAGAGCGGACGTAATAAACCGGAGGTTGGTTCGTGGTGTGGGTGTCTTGTGTCGGCGTTGCCGTTAAACAAGTTCAAGGACAAGGGCAAAACTTTCTAAAGTGCAAAGTGAACTGTACAAAAAGCGAAAAGCTATTTTTATTTGAGGAAAGTTCTTGTAAATAAATTAAATTTAGCTAATTAGCTTGTTATCTGTTGTTATAGCGACCTCATTAGAATTATAGTGTTATTTTAGTTGTAATAAATGCTTGCAGTTTTCTTAAGTTTGTTCTCGGGCTGGTTTATTCTCAGTGTTTTTTGTTAAAGAGAGCCCATTTTGAGGCGCGGTTTCGTTACAAAACGACAAAGTAATTGCTGGTTGAATTCTCAGAGTTTCAAACGTTTCTTCCCACCTTCTCGGCTACTAAACTGAACAAAAGACGAAAAAGACATCCTTGCAGTCGATGTACTGCTTTGGTTACGCGGAAACGTTTACGATTCTTTCGGATCGATCGGGAATGATCGGTTTGTCTGGAAAACGCGAATAGCGAATTGTTGGAAATAGCGAACTGCGAGTAGTATGAAAAGTACGAATAGGTAAACAATAGCCTTAATTTGGCGCGAATTCGAAAATATGTTTGGATATTTGTCCGCGGACATTATTTGTTCCGAGAAGCGAACAGTTTACTAAAAGAAAAATACTAAAAATGCTACTGAAACCTAAGAATTTAAAATCAAATGTAAACTTCAGTATGAGCTGAATAAAACATTATTATTATTACTATTATTTATTTATTTATTATTTATTATTTTCATTCTTAAGATCGTAAGATTTAAGTGTTTCCAATTAAGTTCAGTTTTATTATTATTATTATTATTATTAGAAGTTCCATATGGATGAATGTTAGAATTCGAGTTTTATTTCTCAATAGAATAGAAGTTCCATATGGATACATGTTGGAATTCGAGTTTTATTTCTCAATAAAGGTTGATTACTATTAAAATTTTAAAAATAAAAAAATTATTATCATTATTATTATTATTATTATTATTATTATTATTTACCCTCTCGGAAAACTGTGAGCTTCGAGGAACAGATAATGTCCAAGGACAAATATCCGAGCTTATTTTGGCGCCAAATGGAGGCTATTGTGTTTATTATCCTTCAAATATTTTTCACAACACGTGCGGTTTTCAAAATTGGTGAATATTCTCGAATATTCCCCAGTTTTAGCTGGGTCACGTGACTTGTTTAGACCAATCGCGCGCGAGCAAAAATATTTGATGGATTATAATTAACAATTAGATTATGAGCTCGAGATTTCTATGAAGTGATAGCTGTTGAGGGCGAAGGCCGAATCAACTATCGCCTCATTGAAATCGAGAGCGAATAATCTGATTGTTTTAGTAGAATTCCTACTGAAATTTCCTTCAAAAAACGGTTTCAATTATTTCTGGTCTGAGATTTAACTTCACGCTTTAAAGAATTCGAGCGGACTGAATTGTCAATTTGACATTTTCAGTTGTGTACGCGCGCTTAGTTCTTTCAAAAATTTCGAGCTTTTTTAGTTCAAGAAACCGTAAATGTCCTCTTTTTAGTCTTCTCAGGAATTTTGTTTATTCATTTGTTTCTAAATGTTCTTTAAAACTTCAGAGAAATGAGGAAACGTTGCACTATTGCCGACCACACCAAGCCACTGCACACTAACGGCTAATAGTGTGCACTGGTTCAGCCAATCAGATTATAGCGTTAGCATTAGTACACTAGTAGAATTCTACTAATGCCGAATAGTACGAATAGTGCCGAACAGTCGCGAATAGCCGCAAATAGTGGCGAAGAGTCGCCAGTAGTCACCGCTTTAGTTTAGGACGTTTAGCACTGATCTGGAATCGTTGAAATTGATCGCGTGCAGCAATAGCCTTTATCCATGGACAATGATAAATTCGACCAACCACGTTATGTAAAAAACAACAATAAAATGCAAATATGCGAGGCCAGTTTTCTGTGATTAGTTTATCAACTGACAGGCCACGAACGACCTGCTCTGATAACCGGTTATAAAAAGAGCAACGTCTAAACTATGTCTTGCGTTGATTAATTATCCAACTTCCATAGCCCATTTCGCAGATAAGGCGGCCATTTTGAATTCTATTGTTTTAAATATCTATTATGGGATGCTCAGGGGGCAAATAAATATGTATTTGCCCCCAGAGCATCCCATAATAGATATTTGAACAATAAAATTCAAAAATGGCCGCCGTATCTGCGAAATGGGCTATTCTCATCCCACGTTGTTGCGAAGTTGACTGCGAGGTACCAAACTTCTGTTATTTCACTATTTGCCACTATTCGCGACTGTTCGCCACTACTCGCTAATATTTACTATTCAGGTTTTTCAGACACCCGGAATAGACGCCATTTTTGTTTTGCTTTTCTTTTCGCAAAGCGCGCCAGCGAGGATCTCACCATCCGGGCCGGACTAAAATGGAATGCGCACTCATTTTTTGTCAGCCAATAACACACTTCAAATTTTTTGGTGCGTCCAGCGCTAATCGTCAACGACATTTTAAGACGAGTAGCACTGGGGTCGAGAATGGTTCATTTCCTCCTCGATACCGCTAGCCTGCGAAGCAGGCGCATAATCGGAGAAAAAGAAAGAGAAAGAGGAGGAAGAGGGAGCGCACTCCTTCTCCTCCGCCCTCCCTCTGCGCCTGCTACGCAGGCTACGATTTCGCCAGAAAAAAAAATCGCTTTTCACTGCGGTTGTCACTTGACACACGTATTACCAGTAACACAATCATAGGAAAAACAACCGTTTGTACTACTTGTGTTTGTACTTGTACTGTGGGAATCCTCATTACTGTTTAATATCCTTATGGTGGTGCTAACTTGCTTATGACGTAGTGAAAACCAGGCTGTTTTTTATATGTATACATGTACTCTGTTAACCTTCTTTAATTATTCATGAGCAATGCTGAAAAAAAAAGACAATTACAACATGATCCCAGTAAAAATGCAAAAAAAAAAAAAACTCTGTAGAATTCTTCGGCTTTACTGTAACTTTAATTTATTAACTTTTTAAATTTATAACTTTATTACGTTCTTCATTTCACTTGACATAATATCTTATAACTTTATAGGATATTGCTAGACTACGAGTGTCCCTTTTTCGCTTTGTTCCTCGTGCGAGACGCGAAAGGAAACCGCGGGAAACAAAATGGCGGCGCGAACTTGTGGAAGTTTGAAGCACGAGAAGCACGATCTCGCTAGACGGACTCAGCGATAGAGGGACTTCTCGTAGTATAACTTTTTGCCTGTCGACGGTTTAGTCCAGAGCCAAATGGAACAGATATTATGTTTTCTCAATGCTTCTAAAATAATAATCGTTTCTGATCTGGTTGCTACCTATATACCGGCAATGTGCGGACTACACCGAAAGCCTGAAGACTAACTACTTTACCGGCTGTTTTGCCTCTTCACTGAGGAACTCTACATTTTAGCTCAGATTTGTGTCAGGCGTGATGCTTACAATATAATGTTCCTAAATATTAGCTCCTTACACGTGTCTGAAGTCTCATCCGACCACCCTTAGCCGGTCAATAAAATTTAACTTAATCAATTGTAACAACGTGAACATTTTATCCCAACGCGGCGCCCATCAAATGCGTCTTTGTAATCTAGTTTCTTCAGGCGCTGTTGCAAACTTTGCTGGTGAACTGTTTCGTAGCATTATGGGACTGGAGGTAAACTTTAATCCACAATTTATTCAATCCATCAGTTTTCACTTAGGTCTCATCATAAGTGGCTCTGCAAACAACAAAAAGATCTATGCAAAAAAATAGTGGACATTATAATGATACAGTACTGTAATAGTAAGTACTTCTGTCGTAAACGTTAATAATTAAACTCGTGATTACATTTAGTGACGAGGGCTGCAAGGGTGGTAAAAATTCTACTTTCGCTTTTGGCTTTTTGCATCTAATATGAGCTGGAAAGACGACTTTTCTCACAGATAGCTGGTTTGGCAGTTCTTGTCAAAAATCAGCAAAAGGCCTTCTAAACTGAGGTATAAGAGAAGTAATTAATTAATATAACACTGAGGCAGTAATCTGACGAGTGACTCGATTGAAACCAAGATTTACCCTGTCTTACCCTTAATCGTCTTTGTAAACTTGCATCTGCTGCTTGAACACTGCCACTTGGAGTAGCTGCAAGTACTATTAGAGATGAAAAAGAATCAAGGAACTGATGTATCTGGACATGTATAGAGTTGTTTTCACTACACGATTAGCTCAATTAAAACACTCGCGCCACTTTTTTTCATCCAATGAGAAATCAAGACAAACCAAATGCAATCGTGACTCGTTTGCGCGCGTTTTCCCGCGCGTCAGCTACATGTAATAGGCCATTTCCGAGTTCCCTTGTGCCTCTGTTTCAAAGCGAGTCTAAGTGCGCAACCCTTTCTTATGAAAATGACTTTGATTTGCATGAAAAAGAGAATTTGGAAATGGCTTATTCCTTCGAGTTTTCATTGGTTCACTGGATTGTCTGTGTCCTTTGTGATTAGCTAGAGTGATAACTTTGGTTTTGGTTTAACGACACTGAGTTGAAAACCACTCTATTCAAACGCGACAACTACGCTTTTACGCTGACGCTTGTCTTGATGAATTAAACGCGCGAGATGTTAATTAATCTCAAAATTTAAATTTCGTAAAATATATGCTCACGATTGTTGTTGTTATTGAAGGCGTTGTGCTGTTTTTGGTGTCTTAGACTCCAAATCCCTCTTGCTCATAGCTTATAGGAAGAATTGTACAGGTGCAATGCTTCCTCACGAACAAATCACTATCCAGTGGATACCGATGTATAGCATCCCTCTCTACGCTTTAAAGGTGGTGTGAGGGTCTCGCACCCAATTCAGTTTGCATCATTCGAGTTTATACCTTACTTGTCGAGATCGCACTGAGACCTCGACCACGCCCTCCGCATTCATTCTTGTATGGCGGACTTAAGGGAGAGGGTGACCGGATTGGGTGGCTAGCCGCCCACCTTTTGGAGATAGCAAGACATCACTTGAAAAATGAAATGAAAGGGATTGTGAAAATTATGGCAGAAATAAAAGCAAATGCTCTGAATAGGTGCCACATTGTAATTTCTACTTTCTAGCATTGCTAGTAGTTCCGGTGAAATAATTTCCCATTAGGTTTCGATTTCCAAACTGGCAACATTTGTGAGCATGCCCCACTGATTCTGTAACTCCAAGGTATCAGCCACCTAGCTGTGAGTGTTTTCATACACATAGGTAGTAATACTTGAGGTACTACTGTCTGATCTATTCCAACTTTCTTAAACTCAAGGCTTATATATATCAATACAGTTATACAAAGTAGGGAGCGACAGTGCGGTAAGAACTCTAATGGTGTGAACATGATAAGGTGCGATATCTCTTGCTACCCTTTAAACAACCAGATCCAGATTAAGACGTTTGAAGTGCAAGTATCGTCCTTGATTGTGTACTTGGATAAAACTGTTCTCTGAGTACCTCTTTGGCGAATACTTCGCCATCTTGCTCTAACATTTAGCCTTAGTTTTATTACAAGGAATAGTATCAGCATAGCAACAAACAGACTTCTCACCACAAGGTACATCGGTCCGGAAGAACATTAAGCTCTCCGTGAAAGTACTTTACTCCTTCAAAGTGGCAAACTAATGGGTAATAACAAAAAATCGTTTCAGTGTTTGTTTACATTTATCGACTTTTTTTTTCTCGAACCAAATGTTTGCGGAATTGCCGATATTTCCTGGTTAATATTTAACAATTAGACTCGTAGCCCTTGCGGGCCACGGGTCAATAGCCCACGAGGAGAAGCCAAATGGGCTATTGACCCGTGGCCCTTGAGGACGAAGGGTCTAATTGTTTTATCGGACAGAAAAGGCAATAATAAAGTAAGCAAATGCAAGTTGAAGAAATATTTATTTGGGAATAAAACGAAAGAAAACCTGCGAATTTCGTTAGTCGAGGACTATTACTAATAGTCCTCTAATAGCGTAGCCAATTAAAATTCAGGATTTGCATTATTCCACTAGATGGGTGATAATAATCGTGGTTAATAATTGCAATTACACCAACCTCTAGCGTAATCTTGCGGGCACACTGAACAGCATTTTCCCTTTATTTTAAACGGATCGTCACACAGTGGCTTGGAACACTGAATTACTGAGCAATAGACCCTTCTCCAAAATGGCAGCCGAAAATTCAAACAAGTTAAAATTTGCTAAAATTAAAAATGTATACCAGCACTAGAAAGAACACCTTCACTTTAGTAACCCTGCAAAGTGTCAGCATTTCAGGTGCAATATCAGCTGAGGAAATGCAGGTCGAAAATTGAGAAATTTACAGACGTTTGTATGACTGGGGGTACGCATTATACCCCCAGTCATACAAACGTCTGTAAATTTTTCAATTTTCAACTTACATTTTCTCAGCTGAAACTTTGCAGGGTTACTAAAGTAATGGTGTTCTTTCTAGTGCTGGTATACGTTTTTAATTTTGACTTATTTGAATTTTCGGACGCCATTTTGGAGAAGGGTCTATTGCCCGTCTGGAATTCTCCACACAAGCAGTGAGCGCATTCACTGAGGCTCCAGATCTCACCCTCTTTGTACACCTCTCCTGTCAGTGGGTTAGCGCACTGTGGTGTCTCTTTGAAATCAAAATTTAAAACAAATTAAATAAAAAATTGACGATACGCCGATTTTGGCCGTTTTAAGGGATATTTGTTAAGGCTATCATGTGTGCCAGGTTATGCAAAGTCGGTCCCGAGTTGAAACAAGTTCAGTTCGGGATAATTTTGAGTTGAACTTGCTTCAGCTCAAACTTGAAAACAAGTTCAGCTCGAAATAAGAAGCTTTCGTTTGGCGGTTTCTTAATTGTTTTCTTCACCCAATCCAAAAGATATCGCTGTTGAACTTTTAAATTAATTTAATTACAGCGAAATAAACCAAAATATTTTGGATTACTTTCAGCTAGTCAGAAGCAAGACTTAAACCAATCGTGACCTGGTGTGTACACGTTTTTCTCTGCTATGCCACCAGTTTTATGTTTTTGTTTTGTGTTCTAACAGTTCTGAATCAACTGAATCAAATAACGACGTACTTGAAGCCGAAGTGATTAATGTTTTGATAAGTATTTTAATTGTATTAGACCTCTTCTATCCGGCTCTGGAACAACCATCGTTTCAGTATACGCCTGAACCTTAGTGGAAGGGTTCATTTTTGCGACTTACCACTCAGTGGATCCATTTGTTGTTGACTGTTGTCGTGTTGACACGCCCAGCCTTTCGATTCTTCACATTTGCTTTAATAATCAAGAAAGAGAAGAAACTCTTTTGAAATAAAATTATTAAGTACAGAGATGGCGGCGAGAAAGCCGATAACAAACGATGAAAAAAAAAAGGATATGATTTGAGCTCAAGTTAACAAGGTGTAAAATATAACAAGGTTCATCTGTATTACAATGGAATTTATAATTTACAATACAATATTTATATTTTGAGAAAGTCTACTGGTTGTCATGCAGTCCTCTATCCTGATCGAACCTCGATTTTTCGAACCCCCGTTGGGTAGTTCCAGAAATCGCCAAGGGTAAAATTGCATTGGTCCTTTGAGATCCTTCGTGCGGAGGGAAACAAAATGTAATTTGAGATAATCGGTATAAATTAATATTTTGCCGACACGGAACAGAGAACTGGGTGCGAGCGTGGTACGCGAAGACTCATGGTTACTAGAGGGGCGAAAATCGAGCGTTAGAGAAATTGGGAATCTACTGTATTAATAACTGGAGGACATGTATGCTTAATTAATCATGGGTGTAAACTCCAAGGGAATTCTGTACTTACCAGAGCGACTTACGATCTTGTAAGACAATGATTTCACTCTGGAAAAACTTCTTTCCATTGAATTTACAAACTGAGAATTAAAAAGATTCTGTGTGTAAGCTGAAAAAGGACGCTATTCTAGCATCAAAGGGGAACTATTTGCATACCAGTCATCAAGGAGAAGTTAGTATTTTTAGCTAAGTACCGGAGGGCTGTAGAATGAAGCCCATAGGTTGTATGGTATGTGCGCCCCAAAGGGTATGGTTTTCAGCCGTTTTGGTCGGAAGTAGGGTGTCAATTTTGCCATTTTGGTCATAAATAGAACATGATTTTTGAACTCTAGTCTTGAAATGGGTATGGTTTTAGACGAAGCTACTTTTTCATCATTACTGAAAAAAACCGATAAACAAAACCCCTTCACGATGCCTTTAACATCGATGGTCTGAACTAGGCAACTAAGTATAAGGGTATTGAAACGGGGTATTGATTTAGGATCAAGTCATACATAGAGTATCAAATTTTAAGTCAGGTCATAAATAGGCTAGGGAAAATCGCTGGGAAGCGGGCCGCACAGCCCCATCCAATTTTTCTCGGAGTACCCCTCGGGTGTATACCTCATATTCAAATCAAGTGCGAGTTACGTTCCTCATTTTAAAAATCTGATTTTGTTTTCTTGGTCGATTCTTTGCCTTGTAGTATCAAGGGCGTGGGCCATAAAATTGATGCAACAAAAAAAATTGAAAAGTGAAATAAAGAAGAAAAACTTGGAGCTGCACGAACTGAGAAAACGAGGTTCAATGAAAAGTTTTTTATCACACTTCTCGCTTTGGAGAAAGGAAACCATTGCAAGACAAGCGCGCGTAGCGGACCGTACCGTCTATACGTTTGAGTTCGATCTGTCGCTCTCCAAGTGTCAAGTAAGGTCTTCGTTGCTCCTAAGTACGGGCTTTTTTCCCGAACAGCCGCTAAATATATATCGAACCGCTGTTCAGAGGAATACACTCCAGACAATTGACTAACAAATCACAGCTCAAGTACCGGTATCTGAGAGACGAGATACACGTGGCATAGGACTCCCAAATATTGAGAGGGGATTCCCAAATAGAAAGGAATGGGTGCTAGTCGTATCTTTTAGGGGTAAAAAAGGCGGTTTTGGTACTTCGTAGGGTGTGCACCCTCAAAAGGTCCACAGTGAGAGCTTTTGTGGTACCTATTCAGGTACTGAACCGAAAAAAGTATCCGATTATTTTTATTTACCGTTTCGTTCATTTATATTGAACAACTTATATAAAACAGGATGGAAATTTATGAGAACGCTTTCAAACTTTACTAGTATAGTAGAAAGTATTCGAAACAATCGTCTTTATTATTATTATCAAAAACTGCATGAGAATGAATGCAGTTGAGTCGACCGCTTCTCTTGCACATGCATGCTGTACAGGCGAAGTCTCCTCGTACCCAAATCTCATCAACACGGTAGGATTACCTTGTAACGAGGTCAAAGCATTTATCCTTTCCCTCTGATGTGAAATAAGAAAATCAAAAAGGTACTCTCAGAGTATCCACCACGACAGTTTAATTAGAAAATATACCACTCGTAAAATTCATGAGGGTTGTCCAATACTCCGACAAATTCAGTTAGCATTGTATTGTATTATATCCACATAACAATGGATTAACAATAGATTAACAATACAATACAATTGAGAACGACGCAATACAATATAATACAATACAATTCTGTGCATAAATTTGTCAGAGTATTGGACAAGTGTGAAATTCATACGAAACTACATCTGGGATCCGAGTGGTGTATTTTCCATATCCCACTAGTGAGGATATTCATGACGTCAATTGTAAATCTCGCTTTTTCACGGTTCTTCGTGCAAACAGTAAGTTTGTCTACATAATAAAAAGAGAATTAGATTTAAAATGAAGATATGAGTTTCACTTTCTCTTTTCATTTTAGTACTAACTGAATGTTTTTTTAGAGATTTTTCGACAAGAAGGAGAAATTTCGTTGCATTTGGCCTTTGAAACATTATTTTACTCACTCGCTGAGTCCGTTTATAAAAATAGTGTTTTTACCACTCGAATATAAAATTTATATCTTCTCTCCGCGGCGTAATATTTTCTCTATATAATAAACACATCGCTCGCTATTCTACTTTTAAAGATCATTTTATGTGGGGCATTTAAAACATAAAGTTCTCTACAGTTAGCTGTGAGTAGCCTGTATGTATGTATGTATGTATGTATGTATGCGTAACTGAATGTCCCCTCTCCCCTCGAAAAATGTAGGAGAGGAACGTCTGTGTAGCGGCGTCGCTAATCATGTTTCGCACTGCGTGTGGCTTTCCTGGATTGTTTGAAAAGCACGCTGATAGGTTGTTATTTTAACCTTTTCTCGCACAACGGGAAGTTTGTACCAAGCCGCAGAATGCGCGCCAAACATTCTCACATATGTACGAGCTGCGCTAGCAACTGCAGACGTACAGAAAATTAAACTATCGGCAGCAGAATTTGAGGAGAGGAGACTGCTGTTGTACTCAGGCTATGAGACTCCACTCACCCTTTTCGGATCTCTTCACTTTAACTTTCTCTGGTTTTATATTGTCGCAATACCACGCATCATCTCCAGGAACACACATCAATCCCTTATCACATTTTTCGTCTTCTCTCTCCAGAGGCTCTCTCCTACACGTCTCCCCAATCGACTTAAGACACACATCACAGCAGCCACACTTGTCTTTCACCACAGCTGTTTTGCAGTTTCTCACCACGGGACATGAGTCCTTCGGGTCGGGACAGTTTCCCGCGCTATGACACCAGCAGGATCTGCATTCCGGCACTGGAGTCTGCGCAGTTACCATGCATGACAGAGAAATCATAAATAACAACGCTAATGACAAGAGATTTGCCATTGCTGCCATAACCTGGAATGATTCAGATAAACACTTTTTTTGGTTTCGTAACAGATGCTAGCTCTGCCTCAAGATATTCTAGTATTAAACTCGGTTAACTTAGACAATATTTAAGTTCCGATAGAAGGTAAAATTGAATATTTACAGGTTAACGCACTCAGCGAGTGAATTATCGGGATTTATCTGCACGAGTTCGCTAATAATGACCGAGAAATTTCAATACCGCACGAGGCCGCCGAGTGTGGTATTAAAAATTTCGCCGTTTATTGTTAGTAAACGAGTACAGGTGAATCCAGATAATTCACGAGCAATGAGTGCGTTAACATTTTTTATTATTCAAATTGAATACACTGCAAACAAAAATAGTCAAACTTTGAGTCAGCCGAAGCCATGGTGTAATGACAGTGGTGTGTTGAATTTTCACTACGGCTATTACATCAGTAATGACGTCAAGGAGGTTGTTTCGTCGCAACCCGGTGTCACGTGGTACAAATCAACCAATCAGAAAATCGGAATTTGTACAGTGTATGAAAGTTGAATAATAAAAGCGGTTAACCATCATGAGTTTAAAAACTCCAAAATCTACCATTCTCGATTATTTAGTGTCCTTGGCAAAATGTATTTCTGTATATAGGATCGATACATTGCTAAGCAGGCAGACAAAATTAATAAATTGTCTGTCATACAGCGATTGTACATGTACAAAAAAATCTCAGAACTTACCGATTGAAAGAAATAATATATGGAATCACTTGGGAGAATTGACTTATTGATTCATATTAACTTGGATATGCAAACTGAATGCAATTGCAAGCCATTAAATTATTTCGAAGATCGACTAGTTCTTATACATTTGATAGCATTGTTAGACTTAGAACTTTAAAAAGCAAACGGATCTATGGACACCTGTTTTGGTTTTTGTTGAAAACCTCCAACGGGTAGAGTAAATAGCAGCAAAAAAAGAGCGACAATTATTGTTGTATCAGGAGCCCCACCCCATTAGGAATATAAACGATTGATAGTGAACTGAAAGGTATGCGACAATACTTCGGCCTGCATATGGGCCGGGCCGGATTGAGGTGTTTGCTCTTTCCAGAACTTGTCGCTAAATTAAAGAAACATAGGGGAATTGGACTGGCCGGCCGTGAAGGCAATCAGGCCGGCAATGGGTAAATATTAGTGGTTCCTCCACACACCCGGAACAATCTTGCGGCCACTTTCCCAGTGTATAGTACCCCCAGGCAATAAAGACCACACAAAAGATTGTTTTTATTGATGCGGAATTTAAACAGAATATGGCCAGAGAAATACGTAACCTTCCATCTACGGGACAGGTTGAGTGTACACAGGCCTCAATAATGAAGTTAGACTAGTCCAAATTCCTATAACACTCTCAAATAAAATTAGAGCTTTCAAGCCGGACTGAGACGGGACCTTGCGATATTTTTTTGTTTTTAGAACCTTTCACCACGACCTACAAAAATGTTAGCAATCAGATGTTCAAGAATTCGAAAACAAACCTTTACATCATCATGATCAGGTGATGAACAAAGAGGAATTAATGAGGGCAGATTGGCCCGAGAGAAATGATTTTTTATTGGGTCTAGAAGTCAAAGGACAAATACTTGACGAAACTCTCAGCTAGAGTTTCGAGACGACAAAAACAAGTTGTTAACAGTCACGAAGATTTTATTGAAATTAAGATATGAAGCCCATAACAGGGAACTTATAAACCAGATCACTGGTTGTATCTAGATGGGCTCTTTTAGGAAAAACGTTACTCAGCTGCTTACACTAGTCACTTCAATCCCCATAATAAATCAAAACAACGTGCAAAATACCAACTAAAATCCAGTACTAGCTAATTGTGGTTACTTCTCTCGCATGCTCCCTGGAAGATTAGATTTGAAAACTGCCGGAATACTGTTCAAGAGAGCTCAAAAGAGTTGATACCTTTGCCTGTTGTGTCGTCAAGCCGCATTAAACTGGTGATCTTTATCTCAAAATAAATGTTTGGTTAAAGGATCTTTTAATGCAGTAAAACTGTAAGCATTCTTAATCGAATTTGAAAAAAATAATAATAATAACATTAACAATAATACATTGCCCGGAGATTTACGAGTTAGATATTATTTGAATATTTCTGTTTTAAATACTTACCAACGCAGAAATTAGAGCATTAAGAACTAATTCCGAGTTTCAACAGGTCGAGATAGGAAAATGGAAATGGCTGGCAAAACTAAAGTTGGCAAAAACGACTTGATGCTGGCAATTCCTTGGTGTATGCATGCCTCTATTCTTTGGCATGTTTGGGTTTGTAGGTAATATTTTAAACTGCTACTTACAAATTCTGGCGATGAAGTGGGCCAAGAGACCATGATCTCATTTTCTCTTGAGTAGGCAAACTCTCACTCGATTAAATTTAACGGGTCTTAACGAGACTACACGGTGATTCTGAAATCCTATAAAGATATGCGCTTTTTCGTTCATGTATAACAAGATTATAAATTGGTCATGCTGTATTCAAATCTTACCTTCATCGCAGACTTTGCTCAAGCAGAGCCTTGTCCTATCGAGAGCTATATACAGCTGGGCTGCGAAACACCGCCGTTTCGCCACGTTCTCACAGGCTTCTGGAAGTTGTATCAAAGCGATCTTTTGCAAGAAAGTTCCGCCGGCGTTGTAATGTAATACAGAACTTGTCAAAAGGTTACAACTATATTTTTGGGTTATGTTAGGGCGTTTTGGAAAATCTGCGGTCCATAAGTGTATGCCGCAAGAACACATGGCAGAAAAAAAAACTTTTTGTCGTAAAAGCAAAATGTTCCACAGTTTATAACTCAATGACGAAATAGCTGTTGAATGATACAATGCTTCATAAATGTTTTAAAACGTCGTTAAAATGTGTAAATGTGAAAATTTAAGTTTCGTGTCTCTTCAAACATCACCTATTGATCGGTTATGCCTGCTACATGTGACCTCACGAAATTAATATTGCATTGAGGGAATATTTTCAAATATTCGAAAATTGAGTTTGCACATAACGGCAAAGTTGCAGGGGTATCGTTATTGTAATGTTTTATCTGTTTATATGATTTGCTTCTAGTGCAAAATGTTCCACCTTACCGGACTAAACTTTTCATAAAAATAGAAACTTGTCTACAAATCTGGGATTAATTTACAAAAAAAATATCATTGTGTTATTGGAGTGCTAATTGGAAAATAATAGCTCAAAGATTATCTTTCAACTTTCAAGTTCAAGTTTATCTGTTTTGAAAGCACTATTCTTAAAAGTGTTTGATCTTAAAAGGTTGGCACAGCTTCAAATATGCCCTGTGACTCTGCGGCCCTTTATCTCAATTTCACTCCCACTTGCTAACAAACGCTGCCGCTTTTCGCAAAGTTTTCACCGGTTCGTCGATCTTTGAATGAGCAAAAATAACTTATTTGAAGATAACGGTTTAAAGATTTTATCACTTGCTCATAAAATCGTATCGACTGTAT